CAGTCAAGCAAGACTTTTTTGACAACTTTAAGGAGTTCCTGTCAAGTTACGTATATTTGAGGGATAATGAAACTCACAAGGACATTGTGGATGATTTCACAGGAAAAATTGATAAAGGCATGAACGTCAACAAAGCCTTGAATAGAGTTTTGCCTAAACATGCTGAAAATTTTGCCGGACTGTTTCAGTTAAATAACGGAGAGGAGCATGCCTAAAAGTTAACAGACAGTAGAGACAAATGGTTCCAAAAAGATGATCTGAGTACATGTAATGCCTCTGATTTCAAATTTAACAAACTTCCGGTAATCACCCTTGTAGTAATTCTTAAAATTAGTAAGATAATTATTGTAAAAAATCAATGATGAACAACGGGAATAAAACGGTACCAGTACAAACCTACCAGAAACCAATATGTGAAGTCCATTGAATTTGTTTTGTGTTCTTACTTACAGCTATGACTATCGAATAATAATTCTCGGGTCGGATACTGGCCGGGAACTTCTGCACAATATTCCACAGCACGACGAATAGATTGACCCCTTTGCTACGTGTTAAAAATCCCCAACTGACGTCATGCTGTAATGATGTATTTTACATTTGGGTTCCACAATAAAGAGCAACAGTAACGCTCCGCTCTGATTGAATTTGTAAAACATGTACAGGGTAACTGGACGTAAAACACCAGTTCAAAAGATTTTAAACAAAATTCAGCCAGCGCCCACACCAAATACATGTACGGGGCGTAAAACACTCTAGTTCAAAGGATTAAGAAATTCTGCTAGGGACAGCAGAGTCTTCTCCCTGTATCGATCAGATCTCGGTAGTCATAGTGAGCCGAACGCAACGCAAGACCGTTAGCATGTGGGCGCCCTCTCTCCTTTAGTGTCCAAGAATTAATCAGACGAACGCTCACTTCCAACGTACACAATTGATTAGCTTAGGATCTCCTGGTGGGCCAGTCAGTATTTTTCCATGACACCACACCACCTATGACTCGTCAACTATTTTTTATCATCCCATTTCATAATAAAGGTCAAATTGTACCGAGAATTTTTACCCCATGATATGCCTTATTCATATTTTATCCCATACACAAGGTCATCTTGGACCACACTTTCCGACCCTATGCTGTGCCTATCCCTTACAAAAGGTCATCTTGTGCCATACATTATACCCTACACCTCAATCCTATTCATATGATCATAATTATTATGCTTATGCCTATTGATGTGACCTTTTGCTATTTCTAGGCCAAAGGTCAAACTGTGCCCAACGGCCCAAGGTCAAATTGTGCCAGACTGCCCCCTAACTACTAACATTGTGTTCCATGTTAGAGAATTTATAAAACTCCTCATGGAGCACTTAACGTCACACAGCGACTCGGCTTCAGGTCATCAGCTTTAAGGCGAGGAGGGACTTGCCTCCCGGATAATTTATGTTGGCATTTTCTTTCAATGTCAAATAGAAAGCGCCAGCACTTTAGAAACGGGAAGATTTACACTATTAGTTTGAGGAGTAAAATCGGTCATTTACCGACGGAGGACGGATATCCGGTCACTTTAAAACTTGGCATTCGTGTGAAAACAATCACTATGAAGTCTCTGTTCAGTATGTGTTATATAGATTAGGAAGTTCATGCATGGTTTCGCACTTGTTGGCCTTCGTACCCGCACGGGACTTTACGACTGACCTGTCTCGGAAAAATGGGAATTCCACGAAAATGGTGGGTGTTCGATTGTCATAGAATTGATGTCAAGATGATCTGGAAAACATTTCTCAAGTCCCGAAATGGGCGTTCTAGGACTTATTCAAGAAGTTAGTTTCAACATTTCGGTTTCGACCCCCGGCATTTGACTGGAAATTGTGTTAAAGAATCCTGTCAGCTCCTTCAATAAATTGTACTCGCTCAGCTCAAATAATATCCATTTCCACTAATTTCTGGAGCTAAGGACGATGCGCCATGGAAACCGAGGCCTCTCTTACTAAGGTTGAAATGATTATTAACTGACCACACGATTATAATGAACATCCAATATTGCATTCAATTTCGACTCCAAAACTTAATAGGTATAGCGTTGAAAAATACGCGAAAATCCGAGCCTTCAACCTACCAAGGACGGCCAAACATTTTTATTAACGTCCGGAGAGGTGCTGTTGCCATAGCAACCTCCTCGAAGGTCTAAACCAGCAATAATTAGACTCACGGTTAACTACACAATCAAAATAAACGTTTAGCATGATTTACTATCCATTATTAATGCATAATTATTTGGTTTTATGAATATACAAAGAACCATTAGGAAGCCTCTAAGATTCTATTAGGAAGCCTGTGTGATGGAGATTATCTGCCCTGAGCTGAAGTGCCCCCTCACCGGCGAAAGAAAGACAGATGGTATATTAAGCTTTCCAATCGGGTTCTAGCACGCATTCGGCGTGCACGCGAGCGAAGACCACACATTCTAGACTAAAATCGTACTCAGCGTGCTCTGCGTCAAACGTTAACGCGCATAAACTTGCGCACCTATGCAGTGCGTGAGTAATTTCATTTTCAAACGCGCCCTCTTCTCTTTTGTTCCTGCTCGGAGCGGATTTTTTTCACAAAAACTACTGAATAACGACGGCTCATCACTTACAGAAAAAATGCTGATCGGTCCGTTTATTTTAATCCCCTCTGGCAATTTTCTAGACTCAATAATTGTTGTCAGCGTTGCCCCAGCAAACAAGAACCCTACCTCATGCTGCAATAGGATTTGTGTTTGTCAACGTCCGTGTGTTGTGTGTACCGTTCGTACCTGTAGTGCCCTATCATGTAAATAAACAATACATAAGTTATTATAATGTTCATGTTGCCATGGTCTCGTCTCTTTATTATTTTATGCGACACTGTTTTTTTTATAATGCCTTTGACATGTGACTTATAGCCCCACGGACGTGTATAATAAAATCTGGACTCGCAATGCCCTTTATCAGCTTATAGAGATCATTGAATCCACTCGCGGCCATTTTACCGAGCCTAATACAAAGCTTTCCTGGTAATGCCCGCCTTTGTTCTTTCTGACGTCAATAGAAGGGAGCCAACCCACGCTTTTGTATTCGGCTCGGTAAAATGGCCGTTGGTTGGCTGCTATTTCATACAAAGGCGTTGCAAGTCCAAGTTTTTTAATATACGTCCGTGTATAGCCCGCGATTTTTGAAAAAGCGTTTTTGCCACAGATCGCCTGGACATGACAGCTGCAATATTTTTGCTATAAACAAAATTTCTAAAATTTTCCACCGGAAAACCAAGTCTTGGAACGGTGATGGTCTCCGAGACAGCCAGGCATCCGATCTGCCAACAGACCGTAAGTTTGAGAGGTTCTAATTTTATGAAATTTTCTGTTATAAATGTGATCTTGAGTACATGTACCACTTCCAGTCGATCTAAGTGACTACAGAGGATGCACTGTTTCCAATCAGAAACTGATTGATGGGGATATTATAAATATTTCTTTATTACATACTATTAAGTGGTCTAAATTTGTGGTTTGATCCAGTAACTTTGGAACGATTTCATTAGGCGATCAATATACATGCAATTGTTTGTATTTAATATTATCACTACCTCAATCGCCATTAATCTAGGCTGTGGAATTATTATCCGAATGTACGTTACATATGTGTTATTTCAGATGGCATCCAGGGCTGCATGAGCCATTAGCCCTCGTGATTAAAGTGCCCTGTTGTGATCTCCATTGCCCTACCGACTGCCCGAGGCTGGCTGTAGGCGAGCCGAAACACCGAACCTAGCCAAGCGTGACATCGCCGACACTTTCCTGGCTATCTACTCAGAGGTTCCGGCGCAAGGTTAAAGCCGACGGTTCGGGCAAGGGGACGGCCTTTGACGCGGAAAGAGTTTTCTACTCACGGTGGGCCCTACATAAATGAGTTTTTTCTTAATCTGATTGCCGGCTTAGTAAGGTTTTAATAATTAACAGGTGAAGAATGAAATAAACTAATTGATTGTAATTTTCTTTGTTTCGTTACAACCAAGAAGTCATTGCAGAAGCCATTTAAACTTCTTTCAGTTATACATCTTGCTTCGTGTTCCGAACGCAGACTATTATAGACTTAATTCGGTCTTACGTGAAATGCTCCGTTATTAACTTTTGTAAATATTTGTAGATTTGTAGAAACAGATAATTCATTTGGTGTTTTCTTGTTGTGCCGTAGTATTTAGTTGTAAGGTATAGGTTAAAATAAATTTATTTAAATTTAAGAGAAGATGTATATTTGAATCTTTTGCGTCTGCACAAAGTTGTCTGGGGGGCAAACACTAACCCGCAAAAATTCTTGCTACAGTGACTTTCGGGGGGGTAACTGTGACAATTGTGCAGGACTGGTATTTCCGGCAAACGCACGTCGAAAGATGTTTCACCTCAATCAGAAGGTTTCGAAGTTTTCATTTAAATGAGGAAAATGATAAATACGACTGAATGCACCCTCACTGAAATAGAATTTTTATTTGTTAACCAGAAAAGGGGATTTGAATGTTCATTCCATTTTCCTCGAAAACAAATGCCGCCATTGCTAATTCTTTTAAACGGGAAAACCTACAGTATCCGGAGTGCAACTCACGCCTTGACAATTAAAAGAACAGCAGCGGCAGCTTTCTTGAATCACACGATACCATCACTGATTTCTCAGTATATCGACAAAAATATAGGATTAAATCAGTGCTCTGAAATATATGATTGCTGAGCTTTCGGTAACTAGGGCAAGCAGATTCAGTGCTCTTCATTGATACAGGAGGACCGGGAACCAGTCTAGCCGACTGAAGGAAACTTTACACCAGTAGGAAGTAAGATTTTCTTCACGTGACAACGGCGGTCACGTGGATGCGCAAGGCAACACTATCATCACTGCGCGATAAGGAAACAAAATTATTTTATCGTATGTGTCTTCAGTATAGTAGTTGAAAACTGAAAGAATTATGCCGCAGGACGTGAGTTGGAGAATTCCTCTACCGACATTGGACCTAGGCGCAGGGGAAAAAATTAACTTGAGGTTGAGGTCAGTTCGCCATCATCGAAATGGACAAACTCGAAAAGTTCCAATCGTAGATCGTCCGCTCAAACCCCAGCTGAAAATGGAAGGTAAGAAAACATTGGTCGAGTTTTTTTCATTTCGGCTATTTCTCTGAAGAAACGACTGTGCCACTGCATAAGTTATGGGCCTGCATGTTGGCTAATCCCCAACATTCTTTGGGGATGGAAATTTGCGCTAGGGTGAATCGAGGCCGTGTGATATGGCCGAAACATTCTGTAGACTGTACACTTTACCACCTGCCGTGCGAATCTCCAGCACCAAAACGTATCATTTCCATAAGTACAGCGCATCCTTTTGGAGTTTTGCTGCTTGATTACTTGCAGAAGGGTATTTTATATGAAACACATAAAAAATTGAAGGCTCATGTTATCCTACATCGGGAAGCCGAAAGGCAACTTATAGTGCATTAATTCATATTTGTATTTGGCTTAAGCTATTCCAAACCAGTAAATACACATGGCATTGGGAAATTATAGGCCTATTAACAAAGCCTGTTGTATTTCATGTTTTGGTGAAAAGCACAAAGAGAGTTTAAAGATATCGATGAGTAGCTAATAGAACAATTTCTAGGCCTATTGTTTGAACGTGGCACTCATTTGCCTGTTGCTAACTTTTTGGTTTATGGAACAGTAATTTTTGTTTTTACAGTATTAGGAAATCGACTCACAAGGGTAAATGTATCGTGTTGGTAGTAAACATGACGTATTTACTAATTGTTGGCTGATTTGTAAATCTGTAACATTAGAAGCCATCCAGAGTTTCTTACCATCGCTGAAGCCCAAGCCCGTGGCCAAGGAGCTCATTATCACATCACGGACGCCTTCTCCATGCTCAAAGGCCAGGCCAGTGCCTCACCTGCCACGTGCGTGCATCCCCGTCTGGGGGACTGATGACACGTCCCGCAGTGCGACCTACAACTGCCATCTGTGCTGGGGGTTGGCGAAATGCAACCCTGAGATGCATCCACAGAATCTGCCGTCGATCTCGGACACTGTGAGCTGGGCCTTCAGAGCCAAGAAAGAGAGGCTGAAGTCCGCCAGGCGCCATGGGGGTGTTGCCAAGGACAAGAAGGCCAGGCGGAAAGATATCACCAAAGGGCAAGGTCCAGCAACACTAAAGGTGGATGCATGGTTGCAGACTGATGCATGCCCTGTGGATGGAGAAAACCTTAAACTGTCTGAGGTGGGTTATCAACCCCCCCAACAATCAACAGATTCGCATAGGAATCAAAAGATTCCTGTCAAAATAGTATGCAGGATGACAGTCAAAATCAAAGTCATTGCAAGGACGTAAGATCAAACCACTTTGATGTACATTTGACACCTAAGTAAGCATAGTGACAATTGCATCAATTTACTACATTGTCTGTGGGGAGTCCTGGCATAAGACTCTCGTCAGCTGTAAATTTGACATGTCTTCAGAAAAGGGAATAATTGCCCTGTCATCTGATAAGCCTTTACACCTGGAGAAATTTCCGAGTGACTGGTATGCCAAACTGAGTCAACTCCTGCCTCATGTGAAATCTAAAATACTTAACTTTGATTGCAGCTTGGCAGTGATATTGTTTTGTTCCCTGGAACTACTCCCTCCAATAACGTCACACTGGCGCTCCCTGCCATAAAGGGGGCGGACACCATCCTCCCCCAGCATGTTGTGCCGCTTACATTCTCCAAGGAGAAGCTCCAAGATATGCCAAGAACTGCCTGCCATAGGGAACCCTGCAGCGACAAGAGGTGCCGGGCCAGCAGCCCAGCAGATCACACAACGTGGGCAACGAAGCGATTCACCAACAGGATGTAGTGAATTTAAAATTTGAGAGGCCACGTTTTTGATGAGACTATAAAGTATGCTCTTGAATATTTAATCATGATCATGAATAATGTAATATTCAGATGAAGTGTTGTCCTTCTGGACCAGTTGCATACAATGACACGCTTCAGTCAATCCACAGAAACCGGGATATGTTAATATATGTCAATGGTGCATGTATTTAAGGTACATGCATCATCCCTTTGCTAAGGCCAGGCCCAGAGAAATTTCTGGTTTGTCCACTGTCACACCTACAATACTGCACTGTGTTATGTACAAACAACCATCTCAAATCTGCATCAGTGTCACTAGAGTCAGCCAAATATGTAACAAACAGATTGAATAGTACTTCATTTAAGACACAGCCCAGTAAAATACCAACAGAGAGTCCCCGCTCTGCCTATTTTTTTGAGAAGTTGCTTTGGGACATTCAACCCATAACCATGTTGGGACTGTGTTTTTGTAACACAATCCGATTCTCTTTTGTTCAAGGAACGTGCTCTTTTTGATATGAAAATTCATCCAACATGTCAAAGGTTGCCTGCCTTAAATCACCTATGCTACTTCCTTCGACTGCAGATCTCTTACTTCGAGGTTATCATTCCCAGGCAAACTAGATCAAGGAAGTCATTTTGCACTTGGAAGTCATCCTTTGGTGAGTTGATAAGCGGTAAGACAGGAACTGTTCGATGTGGATGCTGGAGCAATTGTTGAAGATCATGCACTGTGAAGGATTTGGGTTCGTTTAGCAAACAACACACACTACAAACAGTTTTTGATCCAGAAAACGAGGAACTATAGAAAAAGTAAAACAAAGATATTGCATGCATTTTCGAATTATTTGGTGGTAGCTTAAAATTGGTGTCAGTCAACTGCCCCTTTATCTGTGTTCTTTCTGATGATTCATCCAAATGTGGGAGAATGAATTGTCCTCCAAGAAGTGTATGACTCAAGTCATTACCACGTTAGGTAATATCAGGACTCTCTTTTCTTCATTTGTGGAAGACTGAGACACAACGCAATAGGGCATAATTTAAATGGTCAATGCACCTGATAAGCAACAATTCCTCTGTCACTCTTCACCACCTGAACAAACATTTGTTAAATCGTTTTTGGACCTCTGGTTTTTAAGGGGAAAAATCCCACTTGGCTCCCCATTCCGGACTCAAACTTAGGTGAACCACTAGGTACCTGTATTAAGCACCGCATGGGAACTTCGCCCCGCTTTTCAACTCCAAACCTGCAAGTCAGGATTGCCAAGCATCGATCAATATGCTGTAAAAATTTGAACATCGCCCTCTTGTGCCCACATGAGAAAACAACTTGAGATTTGTTGACAACATGATATTAACTCTTAAAGAACTTTTTAGGGGTCGAATGGCTTCAACAATGGTGACAAACACAGTCCCCCTCCGCAAATATGTCCTGGATCCGCCCCTGCTGCTTCCTTTTAATTCTCAGGTTCCCAAAATTAAAAAAGTCAACTTGGGTTTCAATTAATTCTGCCGATTTCTAAATAAGACCAGGTAAAGGCAGTTTGAGTACCAAGAGAACATTTCCTGAGAAGCACCCAAAGTTTCCGGAGATGAACAAACTTGTTCTATTGTAGACTGACATACATTTCACTAATCAGCATAATTTTCTACTGATTTTCCTTTCATTTTACAGAGCCTAGCTTGAGTCTTAGATCAAAATATGAAACTTGATTTTGAGTACTTATACCGGTATGTTTAGATTACAAATTTAAAAAAGTTTTCATTCTAATTATTTTAATGAATGTTAAAGTTTATTTTGTATTTGCACCTGATAACTAGAGAGTCTGTGTTGGTCCTGTCAATTTCATCAATAAAATGTTATTTTAAAGAGGTATTTTAGGCTAGTTTTCAATTTGGAGACCGTTAGGTATGTTTACAGATTTCCAGTACTGGGGTCAAGGCCAAATTTACATTAGGCCTGATCTCGAAATAAAGGTCCAAAAATAGACCCACATTATTCAACTGAGACATTCTCAGACATGCAGAGTCACCGTGACAGTGCAGATGTCTTGCCTATTAAAGTTCTATCACAGGCAGTCTGTACTTTGGAATACATTCAAGTACTTAGGTTGATACGAGAAATGCCAAAGGTCTGTGGTTCTCAAGCTTTGAAAAGCCAGCAACCAGCTACTGTACAAGACATGGAAACCTGCGTCTTTCTCTGACTGTGCATAATGCACTCGACATTATCTTTCCGACTATGTAACTCTGGTGTGAGGCAGAAAGTTTGAATGGACTTTGGAGCAGTAAAATCATTCTCAATTGAAAACCTGGGGAAGTAAATGATTCTTGCCGAGTCATGCGCATCAATGTGCATAAGATTTGAGTTAGGTGCTCTTGCTGTGGATTGAAATTGCTGTCACAATTCCTTTATTTCTTTATCATCTGGAACTAAACTTTCCATACCAGTTTCTTACATGTGCACACTCTTGAGAAAACAGCTAAAATCTTGACAAGACTTCTTAATTTAAACAGAAGATATGAAAACTATGAATCCCAACTTTGCCTCTATTTCCAATCTGAGGATCAACATTAAAAGGAGTAACCTGAACTGCCAGGAAAAAACTGGATCACATCTAGAAACTGAAGATGTGTGGTTTAATGGGAGTCTTAGGCAAATATTGTTACTTCTTCCAACAGAGGGAGCCTCGACAGTTTTGGAAGGATAGAATAATAGCCTCCGCCACTTTACTCATGTCACCATCCACACTTCGGGATGTAGTTTTATAACGAGTGCAGCGTCATCAAACCTTATTGGTTTGAAATGGTTTGCAGCAAGCAGCAACCCATGCGATGTTGAATTGCTATCTTAAGAGCCATGACAGTAAGTTTGATGATACATTGACACACCATCTCTGGGAGCGACATGTTGTAAGAAGTTCTACTTACTCAAAAAAATCTCTGGTTCTGGGCTAACAACCCTCAAGGGTGCTGACGTCTTCCAGACAAACCCAACAGCTCATGTCCTTGGTATTATTTTCTCCAGACAATCCGAATGAAATTGATCAATGAAAATCTGGCAGACTCGGCTGGGTCTAAAGATACTTTGAAGGCGTGACTGTTTTAAGAATGCGGGAGAGGAGTGCGACGAGTGAATGACATTATACACTGAATTCTGATGCTTAAATTACCCTTTATTACCCCTGATCTCTTAGTAATACACTTCAGCAGTACATACATTATGGTTAAGAGATGTTTCCTCAGTGTAACTTCTAGCTGCAGACGTGCTTTGATAGAAAAGAATGTGACACAGTGCAGCACAGTAACATCCGATCCATTTATTGCCTCAAACTTCAACATTTAACAGTTGTGCGTACTTCGACCTCACACACTTTCACTGATGTTCGCAAACAATCATTGACGTTAAACAACAGAATTAATGACCGTCCACGATTATTCCCGATATGTCCACGATTGCCAAGCGAGTTCAAAACATATTGGAAGCCTTCCAAAAAAAGTTAAAGTATGAACAAAAGAGGACAATAGGAACGTCCACGATTGCCCAAAAAAACATGTTTGACTGGGATCTGAATAAATCAAAATGGGCAGTAATGCCCGCCTTATTATGAGGAAGTAATTGATAATGGTAATTTTGGGGGATAGATTCATAGCATTTGCTTGCTATGAATTTATTTGGCTTAAAATTCTGCAGCGACCTGATGTACTGAGTATGCCAAATTTCAGGACAGAGACAACACACCAAAGTTCAGTTTTGAAAGTGCTAGATTTGCCAAACCTTTGCTGAAATCAAGACTGAAACTTTATCCAAAGTAGTAACTCAAATATTTATACCCACTCATTATAAACAAGTAAATTAAGCTATTTAAGGTTAAAAATCAATCACCGGAAAGTTTACTGTTGATTCACAAACTTGGTTAGGTAATGAATAAAGTTATATAACTAATTCCATAAGAAGCAAAAATAAATCCAACCAGAATATCAGATTTGTGAAACATGTAAGTAGACAGAAAACATGAGAGGCAAATAAAATGTGACAAAGTTGCTTTTTGTGGTGTTTTTTTACAACTTATTGGATTTCAAGCTGTTTACTCCAAAACTGGTCTATTCTGCCAACTGCCATTCTCAGGGGGGAATCCAGGGAGTGTTAGCGAGTTTGTTTCTGCANAAAAGAAGAACAATAGGAGGTCCCCAGTTGCAGGCAAATACACACTTGGTTGGGTGGGTGGGTTGGTATGAGTGAGAGGTTCAGGCCCCTCAGAGATATTTTGTGTTTGATTGTTACGGATAGGACACATATATAAGTATTACATTGTTACTGATGTACGAACAACAAGTCTTATAGAAGGTAATTTTTAGAATTCTCACCATAATTGTTATTCATTTTTTTTGCGTCAGGGTAACCTTAACCCACGTCTCGATCTGCAACTTCTTCCATATTGTTAATTAACAAAAACAGGCAGGCTAAGAAAAAGGTGACACCAAAAGAAGCATCCAATACCCCAAAATACACATGTACACTCTGATTCATGCATTGTAGTTTGTAGACGACAAATACACAAATAAAAAATAAAGTAAAAAAAAAAAAAGGAAAAGAAAGAAAAGTTAATTATACCAGCCAATACCAAAATCCCTTTCCCTTTTCATAAAGTGGCGTTATCATTCTCCTCTTATAGCTTCCCAAGTTCTATTATAGATGTGCTTTGAGATGCTTATGTTAAATCTATCGCATCAAGTATACAATGGGCCATCATCACTGTATCGGTTTTTTGACTGTCAGCGAGACTTTTGTTCTAAACAAAGTACAGGATTCTTTGAACTTATGACTTTTCTTGTGGGTTTTGTTTTTGATAATCTTTGTAAAGCAAGAATGTAGTTTGAAGATGTCTCAAGCATTGTGTACGCTCAAATCCTGTTTCTATCCTAAAGGCAAATTAGCAAGTCGTCATACTGAACTTGCCTAAAAAGTGACAGTCATTCTCAAGGAATTCTTCTTTGGAAGACTCTTTTCTGTCAAACAAACAAGGAAACTCATGTTGCCATTCCATCATTGATCCGTCTTGCTCTGCAGTGTTGCAAACGTTTGGAGTTGTCTGCCTGTGGATGGTGTGAGATTGTCCCAGTACTCCTTGTCTGTCCTGAGAATCGGAGGAAAGATGGGAAATATTCAGTTTTCTATGAACTTGCACTTCAGGAGATGTGCAGTTGGGAAACTTCATTTTGGTTAACAGCATTAATCTTTTGAAGAGAGGAGCTGGATTAATTTCCTATGTAGACTGCCAAGTTTTAGGTTAGATTTTTGAGAACTGCATTGATATTAGGCAAGTTTAACATGTCCATTTATTATGATGCACTTCACAACTGCAGTTTTAGTTAATTATAAAAAAGTTTTTATATCACAACTATTGAGAAACTGGTTTTATCCATGATAAAAATTAACTTTATTTTCCAATATTTTGAGTTAGCTTATTGCTGCTTTCGTTAGACAGCCATTACTGTGAAGTTAAACATGTCTGTGAAGGCACACTTTTTTCCCTCCAACAGCGTATCAAAACACTGCAGAATTATCATAATATCCATTTTCTTGGACAAGTTACAGTCAGAATTTCCTTGACACAGAAGAAAAGGCAGAAGAAAAGGCAAAAAAACCCCGCACATTTCTCTTGTGCCAAGGGCAGGATGAATGTTGAAGGGAAGTGTAACAATTTCCAACTTCAAAGAACATAGAACACCATAACTGGGGTGGAATCTCTGAGGGGGGCAACCTGGGGTGCATGCATTTCTTCAAGGGGTACGAAATGCTAATCACCTGTGGCTTGTACATTCAAAAGATTCAAATGGGGGCATCCTGAGGGGCAGAACTTGGCAAGGGGGGAAGAGGAGAGGGCGAGTTAGTAGTTACACCACTTTGGGTGCCTACCTCAAGTTTTCTTTGTTACCATAATTACTTAGCCCGAGAGGGGGGAAACAATGTGAGGTTTTGCATACTTACTTTACCCAATAAGAGGAACTGTTGCTCACTTTAAGAGCATCCCACGGCGTCACGTTGTAAGCTGCAGGGGGAAGGCCTCCTCGCTCATCAGACAACTGCACAAAACCAATTCAAGATATTGTTAAGAAACAATATGCTAATGTCTCCATAAAACCCAATGTACAGAGCTGTAACGATCAAAAGACGGGCTTATAACTAAAATATTAAGTAGAGACTTAATGAGCACACATATCTTTGCTCAACGATAATTTTTCTGATGCCTCATACATAATATTTGACAGCCCGACTCATGTACTGTTCATTAACCATCAAGTGCCAGATACTATTGTAGCGGAAATTAGTTTACTTCCCGTATCTGCTGACTTAACTTACTTTTGTTGTTATACGAAGAAACTCCTAATGCGCATGCGAGCTCCTACGTCATGTTGTTGCTTTCATAATCTTCAAGTTGGGCGCCTCTGCTGTGCACGCATTACGGTGCAAGCAGTAAATGCACGTCGGTGTGTGTTTTAGAGATTAGTTGTTCGGCGCGCTTTATCTAAGTCTTGGGCGTGCGAGTATTACTCGTTTATGCCTAGTGCACGTTTAGGAGTTCTTTGCAGCCCAATTTAGGCAGCGCGAAATTTAATTCGTTGCCAGGTACGCTGAACTTCGGGGTTTGTTTTGTTTTTGTTGTTATTGCTCGGACTCGGACTTGTCAGATTGCTGCTCCTGCCGACAAAGAAAATACTTGACACTAGGATCAAGGAAAGAAAACCAATCCTCGGCTGTTTAAACCCAAACGACTATTAGCTCGGGGGAATCGCCGCACTTGTTCATCTCCAGTAAGTTAAAGGCAAATTCTAATCATTTTACGATATAACTGTGATCATTTCGACGGGCTTCCCTCACAAATACTTAGTGGAGTGAGAGGTGCCTCCAGGAGGTCCTACATCGAGGTGCCTCACTATCCAGTGCGCCTCCGGAGGTCTCCCTCCGATTGGCGGTGCTCGCATACAGAGTGCCCCCAGATGAAGTAGAAGCTTGATTACATTTCAGAAGTCATAGCCTTGACATGAATTCCGCCGCCTTCATTCATTGATTAGCATTGTTTCTTTGATGTTCAATTAAATATTGTTAATTGTTATTGTCTTGAAAATACTTGTTTCCCGTTGTGTTATTTTGTTCATCTGTCTTGCCCTTAGACTAGGATATACTTTCCTAAAACGAATGTCCCCGCAAATTGCATTCTGCCGCTCGAGTGTAATTTGTTTAAATAAATTTCTAAAATAAGCGTGAGTTGGCAAGAGCCGAGAATCCTCAGTGCCGAGCGCCGAGCGAGCCTGCCCGACTGCTACACTATTTTTGCTGTTTACCAGGCGACCGCTAAAGTCGAAAGTGCCCCAGTACCAAGCTGTCGTCTGGGAACCGTTCATGGAACAGTTGCAAGGATGCAGCATGCACATGTGACAACGACCCTAGCTATGCTTCATGCACAGTAATCATGAACTGACACCAGCACATTTTAGCTCCTTTTGGTAGTTGAAATCGATAATTCAAAACTTGATCCCCATTTGCTTTGCCTCAAGAGCTTAATACGTCAAGGAGCTACACTCAACTATTCACCCTTTACTATGTTACACTGGTATACTGCAACACAGCAACTTAATAGAATTGGAAGTAACTAAGGCAATTTCTACAGATAAGAATATCTATGAGTCAAGGTATGTTGGTAATTTCAGAAATGAGGGGTCCAAAAGTGTGACATTTTGGTGTCCCTGTTACATCTGACCTTTGTTATTTGACATGGCAATATCACCGGAATTGATTTCAAACTATTACCATGTGTTTGGCAGGTAATTTGCATTAATTCATCACTCTTGGAAATTAGAAAATGTGTTCTGAACTTACAAAGTTATATGTCAGATGTGACAAGGACAAACACAAAATGGACCCCTAATTTCTGGAATGACCCATACACAGATGCCACTGCTGTGACAGAAGGTCTTCTTGATTCACAAATCAGATTCACCTCTGTTGCTATGGCCCGGATGTGATGCGGCTCAAATCCGCAACAACCACCAATATATCGAACGCCTAGTTCATAGGCTGCCCTGGCATAATTGTGGACGTCAAGACGAGATATGGCACGAGGCTCCATTGCTGTAAACACAGAGGAATAACTGTTTAAAAATATTTTAAAAACCTAAAAACAACCAAGATATGTTGCAGTTTCTGAGGAATTTCAAACTGCATGTCCTGCTTCAGGACAATGTGCATAATGGAAAAAAAGGCAGTGGCTATGGTTATGATACTTTTTGAAAAGGTTCATGTCTACTTCTGCAGTACTGCCTCAATCTACACTATTGGAAATAGCAACCAGACCAGTAAGTAACAAACTGATTTCAGACCTTCCGTCCCTTTAAAAAAAATCCTAGGGCATAACTCTGCAAAAGGGAAAAGAACAATTTGTTCATAAAGTAAACAAAGGATTTGACTGATTGAAACAACGGAAAACAGAAAGAATGAAGGGAAAACAGATGATCAGAGATGGACTCCAAACTGCTATTTTGTACATAAAAAAAAACGTGCTGACATCATCAAATCTCACTGCCCCGAAGATGTCAAAGCATTACACAGATTGGCCAAAGTTAATGTATTAAAACTAACGAAAAAAGGAATCACTTCGGGGTTGATATAATGATGGAGAAAACACACCTCAGTAACAGTTCTGTTTTGCAGAATCCTAGAGGGTTTCAAAGCATTAATGAAGTGTGAAGTGTGAGTCGGAATAAATACAGAACTGTCTGCTTACCATATGGCCAATCTGGCAGTGCATTGTAGCCTCTCTTATCGTCAACGTAACCAGGCTCCTGTGTGTGGAAACCCAATGGCTGCACCATCAGGTAAGTCTGGAGCCCTGCCTCTTTCAGGCCTTGCTTCATCAGGGCGACAGTCTCCAGGCAAATAGTCGGGTCATACATGCAATTTATGCCCACAACACTGGCACCTATGTATGGCAGAGTAAAATCCAGAACTGAGTAAGTGATCATCTGGGACGTTTTCTGTCAGCCAGGGTTAAAAATTCAGGTCTAACTGGCAAACATCAATATATTTGGTTTGAGGATGGGGAAATTAGGTGATGTCCTCCAGGTACCGCAACCAACACACTGTGGTGTCATCGAGGGCTGTGAGGTCTGCCTCATTGCTAGGGGAGCGGAGGAATGCACACTTGAAGATAATATGGTGCACAGTTTGCGGCTCAGTGGAGCCACACAAACACACACACAGGCTTTTGAAATGCAAAGCCCCCAGTGATGCTTGTGTGGCAGAGCCAGAAATGTTTATGTTATTAAGTACACATTTTTACATAGAAGTAGTTCCCCTTTAAAAATGTTTAACTTTAGTTTAGAGTTGTTGATTTTTTTTTCTAGTAGTGTGCCCCCCTGTTTATTTGTTTAAGCCCCAGCTTCCCCCTATATAGAGTTGCCATGTGGTCT